TTGCAGAGAATACAAAATGGATATATTTTTATTATGGAATGTTTTTTAATAATGATCAAGATGATTATGAAGATGATTGGGAAATAATGCACCTAAGAGAACCACATCTCAAAATTAATAATTTCTTTGAAAATATTGTTCTTCATTATTCTTTAACAGGTAAAAATAAAGCTAAATTTTATCTATGTATTTTTATTTTCTGCATACATTTATGCAGAATAATATATAATTTTGCAACATTTATAATAATATTATTACTTTAATTTAGATTTCAAATCACATTTTCGTATTCAAAGAAATACTTTTGAACTGTTGACAATCCTTTGGATTTGAATTATTGGAAAATAATGATTCTCCTCAATTACCACCAGCTAAGCAATTAGCTATTGCCTTATGGATTTTTGGCAATCAAGAAGTGTATAGGTTAGTATAGTTAAAAAATTTTGCAATTTTTTTATGTTATTTATTTTGTCATATTATTTTAAAATTTTTTTGTTTAAAAAATTATTTTCTTCTTTAGATCCGTTGCAAATCGATTTGGAGTTTCCAAAGACTCTATATGGAGTGTTGTTTTTAATGTAGCTTACACATTACAGCGACATGTGCAAAATTATATTAAATGGCCAGAAGTTCGCGAAATATTAATTATATAAGAAAAATTTGCTGCCATTAGTGGTTTTCCAGGTGTGGTAGGCGTCATTGATGGCTGCCACATTCCTATTAGTGCTCCTACTGAATATCCAATTAGTTATATAAATAGAAAAGGATTTCATTCCATATTACTTCAAGGTATTTATAATAATAAAATGCAATTTATTGATGTTTTTGTGGGAATTTGTGGCAGTGTTCATGATGCCCGAGTTTGGCGATTAAGTGACATTAAAAATATGATAGATCATGATGTAGAAAGATATTTTCCACAACATGATCATTTATTAGCTGACTCAGCATACCCATTATTACATTATATGCTCACTCCCTACCGTGATAATGGCCATTTAAATCATGTGCAACTTAATTATAATACAAAATTATCAAAAACTCGCATTATAATTGAAAGAGCGTTTGGAATATTAAAAGGACGATTCCGAAAACTAAAATATGTATATATGTATAACACAGAAATGATACCATTAGTTGTACTTGCATGTTGTATCTTACATAATATTTGTATTGATATTGACGACGAACCGTTTGAAATTCCACAAATTGAAAATATAAATAACAATAATTATGCAGTTATGGAACCTGATGAGAAAAGAGAAATGATTGCACAAATATTATTTTAATGATACAGTATGTGTTCATAATTTTATAATTATTTTATCGATTATATATTGTTATATGTCATAATATTTATTATATTAAAAGATACATATATGTATAATGTATAAAATAAATAAAACATTTGAATTTGTATATTATAATTTGATATCAGTCTTTATTTAATACATAATTACATAAAACAAATTGCACATCAGTCTGTAAGAAATATTTATCTAACATAAATATTTAACTTTAGAAAACAAAATATTAAGTATTAAATATACTTTGGAAAATTAATATTTAAAACATAAATATTAACTAACATAAATATTCTAGTAGATCATTACATGCTTTATGTTAGTAAGCGTATTAGGCGATTTTAAAAATAAAATAAACAATGTTAAAGGCTCCACGAAATTAACAAATCAAAATGAGTAGTAAAAGGCAGTAAAGAGCTAACGCAGTTGAAGGGCGTGGATAAAATAATTTCCAAAACAACAATTCAATATTGACGATTCTTTCGCTTTATTCTATACGTTCGTTATTAACATTTTTTTGAACAATGGATATCCGCTCTCTCTTATCTCTTATGGAATAAAGCGAAAGGATCGTCAATATTGAATTGCTGTTTTGGAAATTATTTTATCCACGCCCTTCAACTGCGTTGGCTCTTTACTGTCTTTCACTACTCATTTTGATTTTAAAAATATTTAAAAGATTTGTCAAATAATTAATAATCTGATTTTCTATCACAGTTATATCATTAGAAAAATCATAGTTATATCATTATAAAAATTAAAAATACTTCTTCTTTTTACTAATAAAAACGTAAATAATACATGCTTTTACTTTTTTCTACTTCTACTGTGCTTTTACTTGCTTCTACTTCTACTGTGCATTATCCTTTTGCAAATATTTTTCAAATAATGTCAAAAATTTTTTTTTTATTTTCATATTTTCTTCATGATGAGCTTCTCTTTGTTTGCAAAGTGCTTTGACTCATTTAGGTTCATCACTTTGTTGGCGTTTCCTAATAGGACGTCCTATATCAGGAGAAGTATTGACTACTGCAGAATTATTTTCATCTGTAGATTCCTCAATTTGTTCTGTAGGAGTTGATTGTCCTATTCTAAATCCATGTGTACTGGAAGCAATTGATAAAGCTGCTACTTCAGGTTTCATATTGATAAAATCATCAATTATCTTAAAATATTCCCATGTTTGTGTAGCTCCACCAGTTTGATTATTAAGATCTCGTACACATATATATTTTCGCTTCAAATTCTTTCACTTGACACAACATTGTTCCTCAGTTACGTTATATCCCCTTTCATTGAACTTATTTGCTATACTTTTCCATATTCTTTTTTGCATATAATTTTTATTGTTTAATAATTTTATATTATTTCTAATTTCTTCTATTAAAAATTTTGTAGTTTGATTATTCCATTGATCTGTAGTTTTCTGTAAAGAATAAAATTATTAAAATAGTCTATTAATGTTATATATGTATGTATAATGTTGCAATATAATGTTGCAAAGAATATAAATAATATATATCATTAATTTATTAAAAATATACATAGTCCCAACCTTATCAAATCATCAATTATTATATACATTAATAATTTAAAAATAATTGTATTATATATATATATATATATATATATATATATACATACCAAATTGAGTTTATTCAATATCATTCTCTTCATTTTGTGGGTCCATTATACTTTTAGACTTTCCTATAATTCAGATTATTTATTAAACAGTAGAAAATGAAAAGCAAAAAGAGTTGTGAGGTTAAGAGTTATTCTTATTTTATAGAAAACATCTTATTCCAGTATAATACATTTGTTTATTAATACATATTTGATAAATAAAGATATATTAATTAAAAGAATATTAAAGTACCTTCTATATTTTCTTATAATGTTTTTCACAATTTTTTCAATCAGCTCGACCGCTAATTCTTTCGATGGCTGTTAATCTAATTCGATTACTTCAGAGACACATCATTGATCCGGATTAATCTAGGGAAATTTAGGAAGTCTATCGTTGAGTACCACTGCTCAGTCCGATCAGAGATCCGATTAGTTGTCGTAAACACCCTGAGTAAAACAGTCCTGTAAATTAGTTGCTTGCTATCGCGACAAACGGCGCTGTAATCGGTTTGTGACAAGGAGAGACAATCATATTGGGTCTGTTCTTTTCTGCTGCATTAGTGCAACTAGTGAAAGTGAAAGAAAGTATGTTTGTCCCTTTCTAACTTATTGTACCAATGCAACTGAAAAAAACAAGACCCATTATCTCTTTCATGCGTGTATGAGTAATAAACATATATGTACAGTACGCGTCAACGATATTGCAGCTCGCATATATTTTTTTCTCTTTGTCGTACATTCTCTCTTTCTCTCTCTCTATCTTCTCTTTTCTTCTTTTTCTTTCTCATTAGATCTTTGTCTTTTTTTGTTAAAAAAATCAAGGCGATTCATATTTCAATAGCTTTTTAAAATGTTATTTGTTGTATTTTGACACAGAATACATAAAGAATATTATAATTAAAGAATATTATAATTAAAAGATACATAAACAATATTATTATTACATAAATACATAAAGAACACTATAAAGAATACTATAATTATAAAGAAACATCAAGAATATTATAATAAGAATACATACGATAATTATAAAAAAGAATAAATACTATGTAGTACATATTCTGATTATAAAAAAATAGATACTATAACAGAATACATAAAGAATACTATAATTAACAAAATCATAAGATTATTGGCATGCAATTGTAAGATATCTCTCTAATGTACGTTTCTTTTATTTGTGATATAATGACTTTTGTATTACCAATAAAATGCTACAAAAGAATAATAAATATAGACAAATATTTTAATGTAATTACTAATGTTATCGTGAAATATCCACTAAGCATCATATTTTTAAATAGATGCCATAAGTTTACAAATAAGTATCTGACAAAAGATATTAAAAATTTATATCTATATAAATTATAAATATTAATTCTGAACATCACCATGATGTTCAGAATTTATATTTATTCATATAAATTTTTAATATCTTTCGTCAAATACTTATTTGTAAACTTATGGCATCTATTTAAAAATATTATAATACTTAGTGGGTATTTCGCAATAACATTAGTAATTACATTAAAATATTTGTCTATATGTATTATTCTTTTGTAGCATTTTATTGGTAATACAAAAGTCATTATATCACAAATAAAAGAAACGTACATCAGAGAGATATTTTATAATTACATGCCAATAATCTTATGATTTTGTTAATTATAGTATTCTTTATGTATTCCATTATAGTATCTATTTTTTATAATTACAGTATGTATTGGGTTGTCCGGAAAGTTCGTGCGGATTTCTCAATAGATGTCGTTCAAAGGCGAATTTTACAAGTTTATGTCGATGTGATATGTCAAATGCTTTCGTGTTTTGATTAGTGACATTTCAACGCATACTTAGTGATATTAATTATCCCAATAAATTAAAAACTTTTTACTTGACATTAGTTTAGAGATGGAAGGAAATAACGTGTTTTTTCGATGCATAATGCTTTTTTATTTCCGTAAAGGAAAGAACGCGACACAAACTCGAAAAAAAATATGTGCCGTATACGGGGAAGATGCCGTAAGTGATCGCATGTGTCAGAAGTGGTTTGCTAAATTTCGTTCAGGAGAAATGAATATTGAAGATGCTCCTCGCTCTGGTCGGCCAGTCACCACTGATGTCGACCAAATAACAGCTTTAATCGATTCCGAGCGGCAGATCACAGTTCGGGAAATCGCAGCGAGGTTAAACATTGGCAAATCAACTGTTTCCGAACATTTAAACAAGCTCCAGATGGTAAAAAAGCTTGATGTTTGGGTGCCGCACGACTTAACTGAGAAAAATCGTATTGACCGCATTTCCATCAGCGATTTGCTATACAAACGCAATGAATACGATTCATTTTTAAAACGCATCATAACAGGCGACGAAAAGTGGATAATTTATAATAATGTCGAGCGTAAAAGGTCGTGGAGCAAGCGAGGTGAACCGCCATTAACCACTTCGAAGGCAGGCTTACATCCGAAAAAGGTAATGCTCTGCATTTGGTGGAATTGGAAGGGGATAGTATATTATGAACTACTACCGGACAACGAAACCATCGATTCGGACAAGTACTGTTCACAGTTGGATAAATTGAAGATAGAAATCGCCAAAAAGTGTCCGGAATTGATCAATAGGAAAGGCGTCGTTTTTCATCATGATAACGCCAGACCTCATGCAAGTTTGCAGACTCGCCAAAAATTATTGGCGTTTGGCTGGGATGTTTTGCCTCATCCACCGTATTCCCCCGACATTGCACCCTCGGATTTTCATTTATTTCGGTCGCTATAAAACTCAATTAATGGTTTGAACTTTGCTTCTTTGCAACTCCTCAAAAACTACTTGGACAGCTTCTTCGCCGAAAAAACCCAAGACTTCTATGAGAGAGGAATTATGAAATTACCCGAAAGATGGAAAAGTATTGTGCAAAATAATGGTGCATATATCACAGAATGAAATAACTTTTAACAACAAAATTTTTTCATTCGAATTTTGCTTAAAAATCCGCACGGACTTTCCGGACAACCCAATATTACATAATATCTATTCTTTTTTATAATTAACCGTTTATAATAACCGTATGTATTCTTATTATAATATTCTTGATGTATCTTTATAATTAAAAGATACATAAAGAATATTATAATAAGAATACATATTAGAATTATAAAATAGATACTATGTAATACATACTGTAATTATTAAAAAAAATAGACATTATAATACACTATAATTAACAAAATCATAACATTATTGGCATGCAATTATAAGATATCTCTCTGATGCACGTTTCTTTTATTTCTGATATGACTTTTGTATTACCAATAAAATGCTACAAAAGAATAATACATATAGACAAATATTTTAATGTTATTACTAATGTTATCGCGAAATATCCACTAAGTATCATAATATTTTTAAATAGATGTCATAAGTTTACAAATAAGTATCTGACAAAAGTTATTAAAAATTTATATGAATAAATATACATTCTGAACATCATGATGATGTGCAAAATTAATATTTATAATTTATATAGATATAAATTTTCAATATCTTTTGTCAGATACTTATTTGTAAACGTATGACATCTATTTCAAAATATTATGATAGTGGATATTTCGCGATAACATTAGTAATTAAATTAAAATATTTGTCTATATGTATTAATCTTTTGTAGCATTTTATTTATCATCTATAACTTTTCCAAGGCTTCTCGGCTTCCAGGAGTTGGATATATTCTGTAAAATAAATCATAATAATCATATATTAATCATATGAATATATATATATATATATATATATAAACTATTACATATACTATTACATATAATATTACATATAATAAACTATTACATATAATATATATAAATATAAATATTACATATAATATATATAAATATAAATATACATACATTTTCATTGGAAGTATAATGCGGATGATGCTGGCACATATCCTGGTTGTACGGGCGGCGCGTGTACAAATCCTGGTTGTACGGGCGGTGCGTGTACATATTCTGGCTGTACGGATGATGCATGCACATATCCTGCTTGCACGAGCGGTGCGTGCACATATCCTGATTGCATGGGCGATGCGTATATATATCCTGGTTGTAAGGGCAGTGCCTGCACATATCCTGATTGTACGGGCGATGCGTGCACATATTCTAGTTGTACAGGCGGTGTGTGCACATATCTTGGATGTACAGGCGGTGCGTGCACATATTCTGGTTGTACAGGCGGTGTGTGCACATATCTTGGATGTACAGGCGGTGTGTGCACATATTCTGGTTATACAGGCGGTGTGTGCACATATTTTGGATGTACAGGCGGTGCGTGCACATATTCTGATTGTATGGGCAGTGTGGGTCGCAATGCACGTCCACGTGCGGCATATTTTTGTTTCTTCTTTTCGCGGGTGACTGCTCTGCGAACCGCTTCATTAATGCGCTGTAAAAAAAAATATATATTAATATAAAAATAAAATGTATACATAAATAATCGACGCACAATACACATATACATACATACATACAAGTAATCTTTCCAATCATATATTTCCCTTATAATTTATTAAAATATTATAATATTCACCTTGTTTATATTTTGTTTCTGCCTCACATCCCCTAGGTCTCCTAGTACCGACGTCGTCGCCGTCACTGTTGACACTCTCCCGTCGGTGGACAGCGGCCTCGTCGCCGTTGACACTCTCCCATCCGCTGATATCGGCGCTGTCGCCGTTGACACTCTCCCGTCAGCGGACAGCGGCGCCGTCGCCATTGACACTCTGCCATTCGTTAATAGCGGCACCATTGTCATTGCCACTCTTCCGTCGGCGCATAGCGGCGCCGTCGCCATTGACACTCTTCTGTCGGCGCATAGCGGCGCCGTCGTCGTTGACACTCTCCCATCCGCTAATAGGACCGCCATCGCCGTCGCCGTTGACACTCTCCTGTCCGCTAATAGCGGCGCTATTGTCATTGCCACTCTCCCGTCGGCTGGTAGCGGCGCCGTCGCCGTTGACTCTCCTGTCCGTTGAAGACGACGCCATTGTCGCCACCATCCTCACTTTTGCTGATAGTGGCGACAACGACGTCGTTTCCGTCGTCTTTTTTGGTCGGATGCTGCCTTCGCTTCTTGCTGAAATAGATTTATAATTATATATATATATATATATATATATATATATATATATATACAGGGTTGGGCAAAAGTCCGGAAACGGTCAAATATCTCGAAAAGGATCAACTATAGCGAAAAATTGTAAATAGCAAAGTTATAGGGCTTAAAAAAATGTACCTAATGATGACTAAAAATTTTACTCTGAGTGGAAGACGAAGATCATATAAAAGTCAAATTGAATTTTTTAAATGGAACTGCCTACTTTTTATTGCATATTCTTGTAGCTTATCTCAAGAGCTTTCCAAAACACTATAATTAAGTACCTTTTTATTAAGTACTTTTTGAGTTATAAGGCTTGAAATAATTTCTTAATTTTACATAAACCATAAAATATCTAGTAAACCATTCATTTTTCGATTATCTTACCTTGATACTTTTATGTACAAAATAATGAGAGGAATCAATTGGTGTAAAGAAAACACATAGTTGTTGCATGGAATTGTTAATTGCAAATTACATATTTTTTCTTAGAAACAACTATGTGTTTTCTTTACACCAATTGATTCCTCTCATTATTTTGTACATAAAAGTATGAAGGTAAGATAATCGAAAAATGAATGGTTTACTAGATATTTTATGGTTTATGTAAAATTAAGAAATTATTTCAAGCCTTATAACTCAAAAAGTACTTAATAAAAAGGTACTTAATTATAATGTTTTGGAAAGCTCTCGAGATAAGCTACAAGAATATATAATAAAAAGTAGGGGATTCCATTTAAAAAATTCAAAGTGACTTTTATATGATCTTCGTCCTCCACTCAAAGTAAAATTTTTAGTCATCATTAGGTACATTTTTTTAAGCCCTACAACTTTGCTATTTACAATTTTTCGCTATAGTTGATCCTTTTCGAGATATTTGACCGTTTCCGGACTTTTGCCCAACCCTGTATATATATATATATATATATATATATATATATATATATACATGTATATTTTTTTCGAAAAATACGCATAGGAAAGAATGAGACAAAGCGAGGAAAAGAGAGTGTGGGAGAAGAATGAGAAGAAAGAGAGACAGAAAGAGAGAGAAAGAGAGAGAGAGAGAATGAGAGAAGAAGGGAAAATAATGAGAGAAGAAAATACGCTAACAAAACTATTAGAAAGTGTATAAAATATACTTACGTCGAGGCATCGTTCCTCTCCAAACGACGCACAACAATGAACTGGTTCTTTCCACTCCAGTGTTGCCAGAAAGCAGACGTGGCGCACACGCACACGGTCAGCGAGGCATGTGTGCGTGTGCACCGCGTCTGCTTTCTGGCAACGTCGCTTCAATCCACTTTGGAAAAAAGAAAGATCTGGCCGATTCCGAAATTTTCGGCATTGCTGCGTATATTTATGTATGTAACAAAATACACGAATACGTGTATCGATGACATCGCTGTTGTTTTTAGATTTCATACACTGCGCGATGAGCTGATATATTACGTTTCTTGAGCGATTTTTGCTCGTTTTTCAGCGATTCAATCTTCACTCCTTATAAATGGAAATAATAAAAATTATAAAAATTTACTTACTAGTTTACTTATACCATTTAGCAAAAATAAATCAATAAAATTGAAATATATTAAAATTAATATTCGTTGAAATTAATATTAATATTATATAATATTAATTTTTAAAACATCAATAAAAATAACATTTTTAATATTGCATATTGTTGCATAAGTTATTTACATATTTTGGAATTATAGATCATATAAATTTTTCTTTTTAATATAAGGTAAAATCCTTATGTAAAAATACATATTTGTAAAAAAAAAATTTATTGGTACAGGTCAGCAAACAATAATATAAATTGCAATTACATTATTGTTTTACTGTTTTCTATTAATAAAAACTTTTTCTTAATAAATATGTATTTTTACATAAAGCATTTTTCTGTCCATAAAAAAAATACATCTATATAATTTATAAATCAAAATATGTAAATGTCTTAAATGTTCTTTTTAGCATCGATCTTTTGAAAATTTATATAAATATAATGAAATTTTATTTATTTCTTTCTCTATAAGAAATTATTTATTATTTTCTCTATAATGAAATTTTATTTATTTCTTTTTTTGCTAAATGGTATACCATATGTTCAGGATTCGCCCTGAATTTTGAGCGAAAATATCACCCCCGGTAATACTGGCGCCATCCGTGCGCGCCAAAGCGAACTCGCGAAATAATTCCGTGGTGTTTTTACAAAATCAGCCAGGATCCGCGTGATCGCGGAATAATACATAATCCTGGCCAATTAGGCAATCGGAAAATCACGCGATTCTACGTGCCTAAACCGGATAGGCTCAAATCGGATCATCCGATCGCCACCAAATCCTTATTATCCGGGAGAAAGACTCTCTCCCGAGCAGTCTTTGTCTAGTTCATATCCGAGCGATTACGAGTCATTGCGCGAAAGTTATAGCGAAATTATATCAAAACCATTGTCGGATTAGAGCGACGAAAACCGAGATTTGTAAGCGCGTTTGAAACAGTGAAACGTGCACAACGCGATTATATTTCAACAACGAATTTTATATAAATATCGCGACGGATCAACGGACAATTCAGTGAACGAGAATCGATTCTGTTCAACACGTGAACGCTCTGAGCGCGAGTGCCGGGATTCGTCTGAGCGCCTCCACTCCAAGTCAGAGATGGAGTCTGTCTCTCACTGAGCCTCCGCTCATTCGTCGAACATTGGAAAGTGCGGTCTCGCTCGCTCTCGCAGACAACCCGATAGAGCGCTGTCTCTCTCTATCTCGCGCGTGCAGCCGTGGAAAGTGCGGTCTCGCTCGCTCTCGCAGACAGCCCGATAGAGCGCTGTCTCTCTCTATCTCGCGCGTGCAGCTGTGGGAAGTGCGGTCTCGCTCGCTCTCGCAGACAGCCCGATAGAGCGCTGTCTCTCTCTATCTCGCGCGTGCAGCCGTGGAAAGTGCGGTTTCGCTCGCTCTCGCAGGCAGCTCAATAGAGCGCTGTCTCTCTCTATCTCGCGCGTGCAGCCGTGGAAAGTGCGGTCTCGCTCGCTCTCACGCGAACCGTGAATAGTGCGGTCTCGCTCGCAATCACGCGAACGGCTGAAAGAGTGCCGTCTCGCTCGTTCTCACAGGCAGCCCGATAGAGCGCTGTCTCTCTCTATCTCGCGCGTGCAGCCGTGGAAAGTGCGGTTTCGCTCGCTCTCGCAGGCAGCCCAATAGAGCGCTGTCTCTCTCTATCTCGCGCGTGCAGCCGTGGAAAGTGCGGTCTCGCTCGCTCTCACGCGAACCGTGAATAGTGCGGTCTCGCTCGCAATCACGCGAACGGCTGAAAGAGTGCCGTCTCGCTCGTTCTCACAGGCAGCCCGATAGAGCGCTGTCTCTCTCTGTTTCGCGTCGAACCGTGGAAAGTGTGGTCTCGTTCGATCTCGCGAACGGCCGATAGAGCGCCGTCTTGCTCTCTCTCGCAGACAGCCGTAGAAGCGCTGTCTCTCTCAGTTTCGTGTGTGCACCCGTGAATAGTGCGGTCTCGCTCGATCTCGCGAACGGCCGATAGAGCGCTGTCTCGCTCACTCCCGCAGACAGCTGATGTAACGCTGTCTCTCTCAATCTCGTACGTGTAACCGTGAATCGTGCTGTCTCGCTCACTCATGAGGACAGCTGATAGAGCGCAGTCTCGCTCGCTCTCACGCGAACAGCTGATAACGCGTTGTATCATATACTCAGTGAACAATTGTATAGTGCGATCTCGCCGATCGAGTACGAATCTCGACGTGCGCAAATATCCGAAATAGAGTCGCACGCATCATCAGTCGAAAGCTCATAAACTCTGTACATATTGTAATTTTGTGCAATAAACTTATCGCCACTCTTGTGTGGATGTCACTGTGTTCTAATCAAAAGAGCAATTTTATGTTATTTCATCCCGTCATTCACCTAGTGCGAAGTCACGTTAGTTGCCAACTCGCGATACCCTCTCGGGTGTGTCCCGGCAAAACAAAATCGCATTTTACAGGTGCGATTCCGAACATCATAATTAATAATTTATATTACTTGTTTTAATATAAGTGTAACATAAATATCCGCATTAAATACATTAAAGTACACAACGATCTTGGCGTCAGTGTAGCGGATTGGGCTTGTCACCACACGGACTCGGATTCAAATCCGAGCCAGCAGCATAATCGCATGATGCGATTTTTGTCGCCGTTTCAGCGTACGAGAGTGTTAACGGCGACGGTATTTATTCC